GGTAGCCAGAGGCGCTGGTCCATGTATTGTGGGCCGGAACGCGCTCAGCGGTGAGGATCGTGAATGATTCAGGCGTTAACTTCTTCCTGCCTCTGTCCGCTGTGGATGCGAGCGAGGGGAGTAAACGCTCCCGGCAGCTGAACGAGAGGGAAATGGTCTTCTGTCTATAAAAGACAGAAAACGAGTTACTAAAGTCTGAAGTCTGTTGTTTGTAATAAAGCCATCGGTATTTCTGCAGATGGAGAAAATACAGTAAAATGCTGTATTTATGTCACGTTAAGCTGAATAATCCTTTCCTCTTCCCTTGGAGTGAAGTCAACAAGAAATGACGAGTGCTTCCGTGTGCTTATTTTTATTGTGGTGATTTTGTGTGATAAAATTATTGGGGTAGAATAAGTAGTCTAAATATGCCAGTAATTAAACAAATTGTTTCTTGTTCTGGGAGCCTAGCAAGCAAGTGCTTCTCTAATGTAGAATGTTTCTCTGTTAGTCAGCCGCAGTCCTCCCTTATGAATATACACACACGCACACACACACACTCATATACCTGCACGCTAGGCAGAGTTGACGTATTTACGCAATGTACTAATGCATCTTTTCTATTTTTTAATCTTTCAGAACTATCATGATGTCATGTCATGCCACCCAGAAAACTTTCAGTGGGAGCAATGGAGTTTTGAAAATGTTGCTACCATACTTGCTCACCGATTTCCTAATAGCTTTATTTGGGTTGTAAAGTGTTCTCGAATGCACCTGCATAAATTCAGTTGTTATGATAACTTTGTGGCAAGCAACATGTTTGGAGCACCAGAGCACAGCACCGACTTTGGAGCTTTCAAGCATCTTCATGTGCTGCTAGTTAATGCGTTCAGACTCGCTCAGAACATGCTGTTGTCCCAGAAGAGCACGTATGGTTTCAACAAGGGTGCAAAGATAGCTGCTTGTAAATCACAGCCGCAGTCTGGTCCTACAACAAACGGCTGTTCGTCCACAGAAAGAGAGAGAGACTGTGAATATTCTAATAACTCTGCCATGAACTTCATTATGCCGTCTGCTGTAGGTGCAGCGTCATTTACTTTGATTGGCTTCAGTAAAGGTTGTGTGGTTTTGAACCAACTGCTCTATGAGCTGAAGGAAGCTAAAAAAGACAAGAATACAGATGCCTTCTTAAAAAACATAAAAGCAATTTACTGGTTGGATGGTGGTCACTCTGGAGGAAGCAATACTTGGGTTACTTACCCTGAAGTGCTGAAAGAACTTGCGCAGACAGGAATTGAAGTTCATGCTCATGTTACACCATACCAAGTGTTTGATACAATGAGATCATGGATTGGGAGAGAGCATGAGAAATTTGTACAGATACTTGAAGAATTGGGTGTAGAAACAGATGATCAACTACACTTTGCAGATGAAGTTCCCTCTTTAGATAACCATTTCAGAGTGCATGAAGTATTTTGAGACTGTATATATCTCTGTATTCACTGCAAAAGCACTTCTGATGCTGTAAATCTTGATTTACAACTTTGAGCGGACACTCTCTGAAGAGTAATAGTAAATCAATCTTGTGTTCTTAGTAGATATTGTATATAAATTTCAATGGCTTAAAAAGGGGGGTTTGGGAATGGGATCCCATATGTAGAGCAGATTATGTCTTTTGATTCCTGGTAAAATTGCTATGAAGGACTGTGTGAACATTTAATCTCAAGCCGTTGGCAAAATTTTTAGCCCTGGATGTCCAAAGTAATATACTGCCTTTAATGGTAGTTTAAAAGTACTGAGGATCTTCGTAGGTCTGGATGTTTCTGTTTACAAGCTTCCAGGGCTGAAAACTGTGGTCTTTGTCAATAACAGAGACAACATTAGTTTTTTGGCTTAGAGAAAATGATGATTGTTGGAGCAATCCTAGTTAAACATTGTTGAAAAGTGTTTCAATTAGATAATTTAATCTTTCAGTTTTGTAACATTTCTCCTATTGAAAGAAAGTCACAAATATTTACTTTTGGAATAATAGTGCCAATTTATTTTTCTTCCCTATGTATTCCCCATACCTTGCTTTTTCTGTGGCTATAAAATTTCATTAACGAATTGCTTAGTATCTGGTAGTGAATAGCCTTTTCATCTGGGACTTGAATTCTGACATAGCTATGTGAAGTGACCAAGAATATTCGTAAGAGTGTAGTTTATTGCTGTTTCAACATACCCTGCTCTTGCTTTGACTAACTTCTATAAGGACTGGAAGTAATGTGTGTATTTGCAATTTGAGGTGTGTTTATCTCTTCTGTTCTGGAACTGGTGAGGTTTTTTTCACAAACTGCAGCATTGGTGTTGATCTAACTCGAGCCATAAGTACATGACATATTAACGAGTTACATAAAATGTTTTAGAATATGTTGACTGCAGCTGTTTCAAAATGCTTCAGTTCGTACAACTATGATTGCCTTTAAATGTATTGTAGTAGTTGCTTCTAGAGCCACCCAGAAATCTGTTTTCAGAGCATAATATTTTATACAGAAGAAACATACCCTCTAAATAAATACAAAGTCAAACAAATCAGATACAGAAGATGTCATCTAGTTCAAGCCCCAACCCTGAGTATACTTCAAAAATAAAATTACTGCAAGGTGGACACGAGAGGGAAATACTGGAATTTTTCTTCTGTTGTACGTTTTCCCTTTTATCTATAAACAAATCTTAGAAAATCACTCTTAAAGATAACTTCAGCTATTAATGATAAACTAGTAGCTTAATGGTTTTGGATTTCCTGAAAGTATAGAAAAACAGAAGGTAGCAAAACAGTGTGATAAATATAGCTCAAGTCTGGAGAAAAAAAAAAAAAGCGTTTAATTCAACTTGGTTCTAATGTTTGATTGCTTAGCAACGCCTCCCTTCTTCTGGCTTCCTGTTACTTTTATTCTGTGGAAGGACAGATCTGGGTCATCTTTCCTCTGTTAGCATCACTAAAACTTCCGAGGTTCACTGGAGACAGTATTTTCACAACTCTGGCAGAGGGTGTGCACACGTTGGTGATCACTGAGGAATGAGAAAAGCCCACCGAACTCTTAAAAACTTTTTTTTATACTTGAAAGTATTAAGGGTGCTAGAAAGGAATGAACATATAAAAAGTAGCTTTTACAATATGAAAGTGAATTCTCTAGTTAATTAGGCTAATGGAACTATCTGTTCAAAAGTAGAAATCTATATTAAATGATGGAGAGAAGTGCAACATGCAAACTAACTACAATTTTATAAGAGAATCTGAAATACAGTTCTATTTGCTTTTATTAAACTCTTTCTTGGAGACACTGTTCAACTCTATTATCGATTACCTTATCAATGGACTTTAAAACAACTTGCTTATGTGTTTCAAGGAAGGGTGTTTCCCTTTTTTGACTTCAAAGGTTTCTGGATGGCTCGCCTATGAAAATACTATTTGATGGAGGTGGTTTACAATAGATGTTAAATAAAATCATCTCAAGTTTTGCTGCGTTACTTTGAAGAATTAGCACTTTCCTGTAAAACTAATCTTGTTGTAAGACTTGATGTTTCAGAGGGAAAACAGACTGGTTGTTTTTTATTCTCTAAACAGTTGTAGTACTGTGTTGGAATGTGCTTCTGTCATTCACTACAATGCATGCTAAAAATAAAATATGCAGACAATGTAGAAAATACTATTTCAAATGGGTGAAACCACTCCAATATGAATGTAAAACTGTTAAATGAGGAATGTGCAGTTAAGGTCTGTGCATTATGCTTTAGCATGTGTTTGTGGAGACCTACGTTTAAAACAAACAAACAAACGCCACCTATTTCGTAGCAGCTTTTCTTCAAGGCAGGCTTTGTATTTATACAGTCACCGTCTACCATCGTAAAACAGCTTACTGGGATCTTGCCTACATGGGAAAGCTGGCATGAAGTAAGCAAAGGTGTGAAGTTTCTGTTAGGGTGAAATGGATCAGGATGAAATGGATCATAGCTTGTAAATACCTATTTCTTTCCGTTAACTATGAAGGCAATTTTGTAATAAACTTAAATATTAGTGCCTAAAGTTAGGTGAGGTGAATTCCTGTTCTCATGCCTACTTACAGTGGTTTAGTGCAAGACACTTTTCTGTTTTGGAATGGAGTAAGCAACATTACATTTTGCATCCTTAGTACAAGCTAGTATGTATTAGCTCATAAACTTATATTTTCTTGTACATTAGACAAGTCATTCTTCATACAAAAAATGTCAACCTTTCTGTCTTGAGAAATGCTAAAATGTTTTAAGCTACATCTATTAAAAATCCCTTTAAAACAAGGCTTTCTGTGAAATTGTCAAATCCACATAACTTAAATGATACTACTTTTGTGTTTATCTTAAATACTGGTAAATTAGCTGACCTTCTTCCTATGTCTAACATAATCACATCTCTGTAACTGCTGCTGCATAAATCAGTATCAGACATTCATTTTGAAAAGTGATTACAGATACAAGCCTCAACGTGTTGCTGAAAAGAGCAGTCTTTTTTGTCCTCACACTGAAAGTGTCCTGCTGCCTCCATAATGTTAACACTAGCACTTTATGGTGAGCTATTCTAGCTTGCTAAATTAGCGTTGTTGCTGATAAAGAAAGATAACTAACGAGTGCTGTGTATTTTAATGTTCATAGATCTTATTTTAAATAAGACTGCAAAGTCAGTCGGGAGTTAGGATGTTACAATTGTGGATATTCACAGATAAAAAATACATGACTGTGTTCTTAAGTTTTCTCAACAGATCCTTTTTGATTTGCAGAAGGAAAATGTCACCTTTTTTTTTTTCCCTTGTCCAGTGGGACTTCTCATAGTGTTGTCTTTTCTAATCTAACAGTTACTTTGACATCTCTGCAGATAAACAATATTTGTTCTCCTGAACAGATGGGAAGTTGAAGCACTGAGATCAAAGTAAGACCATTCATTTACCCTGAATGTTTATTTTAAATTACACAAGGCCTTACTTTCCATATGCTCAGTGCACAGATGGAACTGTGTATAGTCACTGTTTCTTGATATGTGTGGTTCTACGGTCTCAAAGTGGACATCCATGAAATAAGCAAAATAACTGAAAGCTATCTGTTAAAAAGCTGACTGGACATATCTGACATCACATAGGAACACAGCAAAAAAGACCTGGGTAAAGCCAAAATCTCCAAGGTATCGTTCAACTTGGTCAGAAGGCGATTACTTTTCCCCTTCTCATCTCTGTAGATGTCTTTGTCTCTGTCTCTCATCCTTGTCAAGTAGCCTTGGCTTTTTTTATTTCATACCTTTGAGGGTAATCCTCTTCCATATGGTCACTTTGAAAAGATTTCATAAAGTTATAAAACTAATTTGGATTTATATGGCATTTTATATCCAGGTAATTTACATTGCTTTGCAAATGTGATTCTGCGATAACAGTGATGAAAAACACTGGAAAGGTAAGAGAGACATGTTTCGTGGTATTGGAAAAGTCATGGGACGAGTCAACAAAGTTTGTATTTTTTAATCAGTTTACGTACTGAGCTGGCATAACTCTAATATATCATTCTGTAGTACTGACTACAGTATTTGTTGCATATTGTCTTCATAATACTGAAATAAGCTGTGGTGCTATATGTGTTCTAATACAGTATAACATTTCTCACTGTGTAGCACACTGACTTAATGCTGCATTAAGTTAGAAACAAACATGGCTGTATCAGCATAAAACCTGTGTAGACCAGTTCTTTGATTGCCATTACTGTAGTAGCCAAGAGACTCACAATTCTTAACATACCTACCCACCTGTACCAGTCTCTAGATAATATATAAATACCGTCCTTATTTTCTAATGAGCTGAGACAGAGAAGTTAAAGGGTAGTACAAAAGAATTTTAGCATGTGTATGCTCTGCTGTGCACCAGCCTTTTAGCTACCTCACTGCCTTGCAGAAGCCGCAGCAGACACCTGAATTGTCTGGTATCCTTGTACCGTACAAAAGCAGAGGTGGGTGCCTCAGACTGCACTCCGCAAAAGACACCTTCTTCAAATCCTGTTTGGAGTTGACTTCTCCAGAATCCTTTTGGTCTTACAATGAAATTTCACTTTTGTAAGGATGGCAGATTGAAAGAAAAAGTTACTTCTGATGGCTTTGTTTTACTGATCTCTTAACTTTGTTAATCAAAGATGCAAGGTGAGTGTCTTTAGCTTGAGTAAAATAATACTAAATCATTAAGCAAATTGTCAAAGATCATCTAATACCTATGTGGCAGAGCCAGGCACTGTGCTTCTGCCAGTGCTAGACATACTGTTTCTGACCAGATTCATTCTATCTGTATTAAAATAGCATAATTCGCTCTTCCCACTGACAAAAATTTACTCCATATTAGCAATATAATAGCTATGTTACCTATACATAATACTTACTCAGTATTAGCTGTTCCACATCGTTAAGAGTCACAACGAGAAACTGACTGAGGCAGGCATTTTGCACATAGTCTAGCCTAGGTTATAAAGTAGTGATGGCTTTGCAGCCATTTCCTGTTTTTAGGGCTTAAAGTTTGTTTCTAAGAGAACTCGGGAAGTGCCAAATTCTATTGAAGCATATGACCTGAAAAGCATCTGTTACAACAAAAGGGAAAAATATATTCTCATTTACTTTTTCTTCATGTGAATAGACATCTCATATTTGAAAAGCAGAATGCATCACTTAAAGGTTTAGAATAGATTTTGCTTCTTGCAGCAGGCTTCCTGAGGACACTTTCAGTCATGACTGCAAGCTTCCCTTTTTTAATTTGGCACTTCAGAGCTGAGTTGTTTCTAATGAAAGTGTTACTGCAAGATACAGAAAGTCAAGAGACATACCAGAGTTGGAGAAGAGCAAAACAAGGTTCTTCACATCCCTCGCACCACAGTTTACCCTGTGAGGAATTCTCCAATGCATGGGAGTCAGATGAAGCTGTTGCTAATACATTGAGTTTGTACGATGGAAGTTTTAAGCAGTTCACATACTGCTTGACATTTGAAGTAAAATACCTTCACAGCAATAATTGTCCATTACTGTGATGTGCCTTACTACTGCAAGCAATAGCCTCTGAATATTTTTGTCCAAACACATGGAGCAGCACATTTCATATGGTTGAGCAATTCTTTTAATGTTTTCAGTCTGCTCTTAGAAATGTTGACTACAACCATATCTGAACAATTAAAAAGGAAGTAAGCTGGTCTTGTAGCTCTCAAGAATCACCACATATGGAGATCAAAATCTATCCCCAGTCCTCAAGTGACCCAAACAAAATAGGAAAATTTAACATGCAGCTTGTACTGCAAACTTATACAAGCGTTTAAAAAAAATTAAGATTTCATCCATTCTTCTCTTCTTCTACTAATACTGGCATCTTTGGTTCCTGAGTCTGATATAGTAGTTTCCATGGAATGTCTTGTAAAAGTTTCTGTCTTTGAACATACATCTTCAATACGTGTGTTTTCTGCATGGAAACATCTAAACATCTCAGATTTGGTTAAACACATTTTGGCCAGAGGAAAAAAGAATCAAGTCTACACAGGTTTCAGAAGCTGAAAAGTATATTGGGATCATGCCATATGTAATATAACCTGCACTGTCATTAAAATCATCCTTGTCTTAGTAGAATTAGTAATCTCATTTTGGGACTATCAGCATGAATGAACCAAGTAATTTCATCCTGCATATTTAAAAGGGATTGCAGATATATTCTGATGCTTCATGACCAAGTCAAATCCCTTCATGTTAGGTGTTTAACTTGATGCCTATATTAAGAACTTAGACTAAGGAGTTCCTGGAGAGAAACACATCAGAGTACACCAAATCTTCAACACACACATTAATGTGTATTCAACAACGTGAATATTGCCTGAATTTTGAATTGCACTTGTGTTTCTTGGTGTTCCCTCTCAGTTTTGATCAACAAGCCATTAAAATACTGAAACTAAAAAGAGACAGGCACAGACGACTAAAATATTAATGTCTTTTGGATACTCAATTGCCAGAGATCTTTACTTCATTTTTTCCCTACCATTTGGCCAGCTCAGTACTCTTTGATGGGCCGATTTTTGATGGCCTGTTTAAGAGTTTGACAGGAGAATATCTTGACAATGTTTTTCTTTGATTTCTTCCCACAGCAACCACGCTAAGAAAAATATAAAACATATACCTTCTGAAATCAACTTGTCCATTGTATTTCACTCGACCAAGAAAAATACTGAATTATTTCCAGATGTTGGTTTGCAATGAACTTGATTACATTTTAAAAGCATCTGTCACCAAATGTTTACAGTAATATAAAGCCAGGGGCTAGCCAAGTTTAAACTACTGATTTCAGAAACTGTTGATATTTAGTATCTTAACTTTCTGTCCTGAACAGTCTACATCACCTAACCGTGACCCCATTTTGCTTTACATCTCTAAAGGACAAACCCCCACAGAACATCAGTGTCTCTAATTTTGCATTATTCCAGTAATGGATTTTAAGCGTGGCTATAACTAAAAGATTAACTTTGAGCTTACACAGTGAGAGAATGATGATTTCATCATTCATTCATCACTGCACTACTCCAGTTTCACACCATGTTGCACAGCACTATGGAAGGGCCAGTTAATTTTTTACATAGCATCTGCAAGACATTTTATCACTAGTAACGTTATGCTCAAGTTAAACAGTTTAAAACTTGTTTGCTTGTTTTCTTCTTTAATAGCATTTCAGAACAGCGTGTTTTATAAAAGTTATTAAACGAAAAATTGGAGAGACTAGTTCAAGTGAAACCAGGGTGGCACTGACAAAAAAAACTACTTTGCTGGTCTTCCCACTGACCTGCACGGAATACTTTCTGTTGCTCTTTCTAGAAGATGCATTTTCATCTCCTCTGTGGCCTTGCTGCCAGTTTTCTCAGAGAAGTTGAAAACTGGAAGGGCCATGGAGAGGTAACAAGTATTTCTGCAGAGATTTCCCATAGGACACTAGAAGGGGAGCACGAACAGGGTTGCATTCTCACCAGCTGACCAGGATGAGAAGACCCAATTTGCTGTCATATAAAAATAAAATAAAGGCCTTACTTTAAAGCTGTGATGTGAAGAGCAAATAAGTGCGCTCCTATAGCACTCGGCTCACAGATTAATTCATTCAGTATGACCCTCTTCCTCCTACCCAGGTACACATTTTCCACTCCAAACTTTACAGTAGTCTAAACAAGAGAATTATTGCAGCTTTCCTGCTGGACTACCTCAACACTTAACTCCAAATGAGCAATGCCAAGAGCTTTGTTTGGTTTAAAGTGTTTAAGATT